TTCATGATGCGCAACCCGATAAATATTTTTGTTCATTTGCTGACGTGACACAACGGGTTTCCCCGTACTCTTTTCTGAGGGTTTTGAATTGGAAGCAAAGACCCCTACCGAGTCAAGTGTCATGACGAGAAAGAATATCCCAAGAAGAAGTAGCGTCTTTCTCTGGAAACGTGGGCCCATTTTTCGTTATTCTCTTCGTGTGATCTTTTGCTATAAATGTTGTTTATCTTGTAATTTTTGCCCCCTCGTCCCCTGAAGCCACAAGGCACAAGGCTGCATGCATGAACACGGAGAGCCAAAGCAGTAAGAAAAAAAAAAAAAAAAGGCGCGAAAACAATAATAACAGTAAAAAAAAAAAAGAACAAGAAAGGCAGAATAAAAACACACACAAGCATGTATGCATGTGAAGACCCTGTGAGCTGCACAGTGGGAATTAAAGCTTTCATTTATTGGTCCTGTTCTTACGGCACAACACCCCTCGCCGCACCAAATGACACGCCGCCTCGCACATTATAGCGGGTGCTCGTCGTGTTTCTTTGTGACTATTTCTGTTGCTGTTAGCATGAAGTTCCGTTTCTCTTGTCGATCCATCCGCCTTCGCCCGCACTTTGAAACACAGCAAACACAAATGGAAAAGAGGAAGAAAAAAAAAAAAAACAAGAGCAACATTTCACAACGTTGTTATTGGCAATTGTGACGGTGTCTGAGGCGAAAAACGCAGGAATTTCACCATGAACACTGCCGCCACTGCCATCATCATCTTCATCATAAATTCTATTTTTCTTTTTTTCCCCTTTACTCCTCACGTACTCCGCACTGCAGACCTTTCGGGCAGTTTCAAACCCTCCTTTCGTGCAGGTGTGGTTTTCATTTCTCACTCGACATCGCCGCTCAGAAAGAGCAGCGTTCCCCCCCCCTTCCCCTTTCCGCTTTCCCCTCCCTCTCCGCCGCATCATCCGTCCTTTTCAAAAGAAGCAAAAAAAAACAGCAACTACAGAAACAAAAAATGGGGAGGGGCTCCATTTGAAAACACACATACACCCAAAGCAAAAAAAAAAAAAAAGAAAAAGAAACACAATAGTACGGAATAATGAAACAACGGAGAGGCAGCTTCTTATACAAACCTCCACCGAGGGAAAGTAACAAAGAAAAAACGCACACAGACCTTTGCAAGGAAATGTAAAAACAAAAACGCCAAAGTGGGTTACATTCCACAAAAGTGCAGAGATCTAGTAATAAAAAAGGAATATTAATAAGCGTATCCTACCCTTTTATTATATATATAATAATACGGATAAATGAATGGATGGAAAGATATTTACAATAGACCTATTCCCATGGCGTAGTGCATTGGCGGCTTGCCTGGATGAGTCACGTGAGCAAAAACTGTGAATTTCGGCTTCATAACTCCACCAGTGAAACGGATGAAGGCGCCTTTGTTCCCCATCTGATCGCAGTAGTTTGGCGCACTGAAAACTGTGATGCACTTTCCACCGTGTTCAACTTCATATCCCTCTTCCCTCACCTCATGCGAGCGTACCACTAACTTCAGGTTGTTGTTCTTCAAGAACTTCTCCGTAACATCGGGACCAAATGATGGGCAGTCAACTCCACGCTTGCTCGGTGTACGACCGGGCATTGGCTGCGGATCGGCCCAGAGACTTTCGCAGATGAGACCATTCTCTGGAATTTCACGGAATCGGTTTGGCTTTTGAAGCTCATCAAGCGTCACGTCATCTCGAGAGTACAGCCCGCCGTGCACAACAAAGACTTCGTTGTTTATCACGTGGCCGGTAGGTAGAGCATTAAACACCTCCGAGAAGAGATAAAAAACTTCTTTGCTGTATTTCTGCGTCACCTCACCCTCAAAGCCATATACACGATTCATTGCCAAACATTCATGGTTACCGCGAGAAAGAAACATGTGCTCCGGATAAAGCAACTTGTAGGCAAAAAGTGTCATGACATTTTCAAACGAATATGATCCACGGTCCACAAAATCCCCATTGAAAAGATAGCGATTCGTTCGAGATGGGCATCCATTCAGCTTAAATATATTGAGGAGGTCGTAGTATTGTCCGTGTGTATCACCACATACGGTAATATCCTCACCTGTCGGTACGTTAATCGACACAAAGTTCGGGTAGCTTTTAAACAATTTCAGCACCTCCAACAAGATGTAAACTACATCCCGACGATCAATAAGTTTTTCAACCCGGAAACGTTCCTGCATGGCATCCACAAACTCCACGGTGATAGTGTCACCCTCAATACGAGGACCAACGTAGTCAGAGTGCACACTGCCTAATTTGATCGTTTTTGACACAGGCTCTGCGTCAGGGGTGTCAATGGCATTCTCAAAGCGTATACGACGAACTTCCTTCTCACAAAAATCCAGCTTATTACGTGCATCCTTGTCGCCAGGTATCAGCTGCACCACTGTTTTAAAATCCTTCAGTGCCTCCTTGTGCTTCCCAAGATATAGATGCGCTGATGCCTTGCGGTAGTACGCCTTCACATATCCCGGATCCAGTCGCAGCGCCTCATCCGCATCGGTGAGTGCAGCACCAGCAAGTTCCGTTTTGAGATATGCAAAGGCCCGGTTGCACAAGATGACCGGCGTCTTGTGAAGCGCCAGGGCCTCTGTGTACAGTTCAATGGCATGATGCCACTTTCCCTCCTGGAAGGCTTCATTCCCTTTATTCTTAAGTCTATCTGCCTCTTCCGCAGATGTCATAGCTACCCCAAAATTTTACACTTATTCGCAACACAAAAACACACACACACGCACACAAACACACACCGAGAAACAAAAACGCACGCACTTACCGGCAATAGAAGTAGAAAAGAAAAAATGGCAAAAAAACGTTTGGGTAGTTAGGAGACAGACAGAATCACAGAATTCATTTCCAGCAACCAGAAAAGACAAGAAAGTAACAGCAAAAAACAACAATAAAGTATACAAAAAAGGTGGGATGTGCCCTGAAGGTACCGGATAGAACAAATGTTCGTCGCATGGTCTGCCAGAGTGCTAAAATGTGGGAAGAAGGAAAAAGAGAAGTTGGTAAGAAAAACCACAAAGCCCATGCTAGGATTCAACAGAGAATAGATAGATGGGGGGGAAAGCAAATCAATAAGTACAACAACAACAACAACAGCTTTTCTTCTTTATGAGCACGTCAGACAGCATTTGATGTATCATTCACAGGCTATTCCCCCGTAGTCGCCCCAGTTCCCTCCCACATCTTCTGTCTCCGAAAAAAAACGATCAAGCTCGCCATTATTTAGTCTTACGTCTGCTTTTTCAATGACATCAAAGAGACGATCTGGAAGATGATCCTTAAGCATTGAGGCGGAACACACTACATATTGCATATCTTTTGGAGACGCAAATACAGGCACAAACACTTCCTCATGACGACAAGAACAAGATCGATTACCAGAACAGCAGCAATATTGAGGTTCTCTTACTACCGCCTTACAGTAGTGTACAAGTGTAGCAGGTGGATATAACTTTTTCGATTCCATAAGTGACGTACAAGGACTGTTGCGAAACTTGGCACGAAGAGTAAACCTCTCTGAAGAAAAACTTACAGATGATGAGAGTGATTCTATCTCTCTATCCGAACTTAAACAGTTCATGAAAAGAGAAAACTTGGATCTTGAGGTATTCATGAGTTCATCCAATATAGATTCCCTAAGTTCAGCAAGCGTATGAGTGGCCAAGCGTGGAACAATGTCGTTTCCAACAAGACAACCCACAATGAAGCGTTCGCTGTACGCAACCAATGCAGGTGACAATAACCCGCCAGGTGGGGCATACGCAATACACCGCAATCGACCGCGCAGAGTTGGTTCTGTGGACCAAAGCATTATACTTAAAATAGAAGCAACCCCCGCGCCAAGGGAGTGACCCAGCACAACAACATTGAGTTTCTTGAAATCTTCGTGGAGAATACGGTCAAGAACACCAGATTCACGTAACTCCTGCAACACGTATAAGGCGCCTCGCTGCATTCCTCCATGAACATAGTAATCTGCAGGAGTTGTGTTGGCCTCTCGCTCTGCATCTGGCACCTCTAGTAAAACAGGGTTTACCACCATATCCGTGATGCAGTCCGCAAAAGACATGGTTCCTCGGATGGTCACAACAACTGCATCTGTAGATTGGTCAATGACAACAAAAAACACAGGGCGGAAAGGACTATTCCCCCACCTTGTAAGAATGACATTATCCTCGTGGATACGTGTGATCGCAAGTAGTGCGGTCAAATCACAGTAGCATTTGGTTCCTCTATGGGAACCTGGATGCTCTCGACAACACATCAATGGATCAAAACAATAAAGCCTAATCAACCCCGTACAACAATGCATATACTGATACAAAGGCCAACCATATGCCGACAAATAAAAAACGCTATAAATTCGAATATCAGCGAGATAATTCCGTTGTTGAGGGGTCAATAGGGAAAATCGTCGCGCCTGCAAAGAAATGCGTTCATTTCTTTCATCTTCAGCAGATGGGTATCGCACATGAATTCCTCTAAGGCGACTTTCACGCTTCTGCCTTTTATGCACAAGAAGCAGACCTGCAGCGACATCACTTGGCACTAAATCGTAGCCGCAAAACAAACCAGCAACCGTTTTCGAAATTTCCTCAAAGGCATCTTTGTTTCGATGCGTATGTAGACAGCAACAACAAAGGAGACGGCAGCGCTTGTACCAGAGAGACTCATATTCAACGGAGTCCCTCCATACTTGACGCCCTTCAGGGTCAAATACAAACGCAAACGTAATAATGTAAACAACGGGAAGAAGGAAATTAAAAACAATAACGGCATACAGGAAATGACGTGTGGGAGATGTGCAATTTCGACCCTCCTTGTCATATACTGCGTACTTTGTCACAACGGCTGAGAGTGCCAGCATTACCAGTATGGTAAAGGATGTCAAAAAGAGCAAAAGGGGGACGTAGCGCCGCTTAGACACCTGAAATGGAGCCCCCTGAAGGCTTAGCCACGCGGTCACAAGAAACGCCACCGCGCCAACCAGATCCGTCACACCCAGAGCTAAAAAAACCCACTGAAATGTACGAGAGGCATCCGGACACCCCAGCACAAGTGCATCTTCACCAAAACGAAAACGACTCAGAGCAAGCGTCGCATTCGCTAAGAAAAAAACGAAGTAGAAGAAACCGGAGAAGGTAAAATCGTCTGTCGACGTGCGCCACTTTCTGCCGCACCAAGAAAGAGCCGGCATTGAGAAATTTGCTTCAGCGTTTGGTACGTCTACCAAAGCAAGGCAAAGAACACCCTTTTGCTATTATTATTATTATTATTATTTTTATAGGTGTTATATTTTTTATTCTTAAAAAAAAAAAATCAAGCAAAAAAAAAACTAAGTAGAAACATGCGGATGCCCCTCCAGTCACGCCGGTCGCCGTCACTCAAGACAGAGAGAAAAAGGCCTGCAATCAACAAAAGCGTATCCCAAAAACAGTATGGATGGCGCACACAAATACACACACACACGTCACGTGTCCGCCCGGGCTGGCACGGCGGCGCGATAATCCGTCACAGCCAAGTATCAGCAAGGAAAATACCAAATTTATAAATCATTAAATCATTAAAACAAGTGATTTATAAATAATAATAAAAAAAAGGGTATACGCGTCAGAGGCGTCGGCGTTAAAGCCACAGCTGCGAGGGCCTCTTCGTGTCTTCTCGCCGCGTAGGGCGCTGCTGGGGGCAGAGTCTCCCCACCTCGAGGAGAAACCGCACCAAATTCTCCGTGAAGCACGTCTTCCTCACTTCTCCAGTGTACACTCCATGTTTTTGTTTAATTGATGGCCGATCCAGGCAGCGAAGTGGATGCAAACTTCTCTCTTTGCTCAGTTCACGCTGGCCGGCCTCCGCAATTTCCGGTCGCCGCCTGTGGCATGCCGTGCGGCGGCGGGCCAATCCGTCATGGCTTTAACACTGAAAACCGCATGTTGGACGGCAAAATCCCACCGATGGTGATCGCGTCGGGGCGTCGTCGCCGGGTGGGTTGTGCCTTCTCGGCGGCCTGACACTCTGCCATCGTGAAATCGGCGACGGTGTGGCGGTAATGAATGGATGCGTGCGCGCCTTTTTGGGCACACGGTGCGCTTTGCCTCGGCGGCACTCTCCAACGCGGAGGCGAATTCTCTGTGTGAGTTTGTTCTTCTTCCCGCCGAGCTTCCAGCTTCGCAGCGCATGGGTATTTTATCTCCATTTTTGGCGTCGTGCCCTTCTTGCTATCGAGATGCTTGTGCCGTGCGTGTGTGTGGCCAATCCCCCGGTGTTCCCCGCCTGTTTGTCGCGGGAAGGGCGCTGAAGGAGTGCTGCGATCTTTGGCGCCTGCTGCGGCTCTGCTTTGGGACGTTCGTGGGCCCTCATTTGGGGTAGTAGTCCCGCTTTCGTTTGGCCCCTGGGTCCACAGGAAATGCATTTGGAACGGGGTGGTCGCAGCCAGATCGTCATATTCACGGGGACGCCTCCCACTTGTCGGGGGACAGCCCTGATTGCGGAGGTGGTGATGATGAAAACCGAGTCCGTTTTCCTGTTCGCACGGCGCCAAGCGGAGAATGCAGGGAATGGCTTCGGCCTGGGCTGTGCGGCCCATGGCGGAGGCGCGATCGTTGTGCCGTCTCTCGCTCTCGTCCCCGCCAAGGTGGCTGGAGGCGGCCCGAATGGGGTTCCTGGCTTTTTCGGCTTGCCAGAGGAGGTTGGCTTTCCACAGCGTCTGGGGGCGCGTGACGCCACGGGCGTTAGCCATTGGCGCCAGGACACGAGCGCGGCGGCCGCAACGCCCTCCGCACACCGGAAAGCCTGCCGGGCGCCGGATCGTGGCGGGGCAGGGTCCAGCGGGGAAAGCTTCCGTGCGAGGTTCTTTGCGTGCCTGCTGTGGGCATCCGGGCCGCAGCAACGGCATTTGCCCGCGATGGCGGGTTGCGGTGGTCGTGGCGGCCGTCCGTGCTTGTGCAGGACCCCGGCGCGAGGGCGGGCCAGCGCGGCTTCTTCCCCGCGAGCGAGGGCGGTGCGACAAGTTTCTGGCTTGAGCCGTCGGGTGCAAATTATACGTTTTACCGTCGCGAGGACGCCGGCGATACATGTGTCTGTGGGCCGTGTCAGTTCGGATGCCTTCCGGGCTTCCGCATCACAAGCCTCGTTCTTGGAACGCTGCAGTGGCCCGAAGAAAAGCCGCACTTACGCGCTCCTCGGCGCTGCGGACGGAGCAGGGGGGCCACTGTGAGGGGCGGGCGGCAGGCTTCTTTCCGAAGCGCAGGGCCATGATGGAGCCGTGTGGTTTTCAGGCGGCGCGCTGCGGGTGGCTGACGGTGGGGGCGCTAGGCCGCAAGGCGCCACCACGCTTCTCGCATCGGGGCACACACCGGAAGCCGCGCACCAGCACGGTATCGAGGAGGGGCCGCGGCTACGCTACCAACACGGCGCCCTCCATTCTGCCACTCTTCGGGGTTCGCGCGACTATTCCGCTCGCCTTTTGATGTGCGGAATCCAGCGCGAGGCGGAACGCTTCCAAAAGTGTCTCTCTGATTTCCCCACGCAAAGGACCAAATCGCTGTCAGTCGGGGCAGGCGCTGTTTCGATTCCTCACGGAGTTTGCCCGCGTGTGCGCTCATTCCGCGGGAATACGAGGAATTGGCACCCAGAAGGACCGGCGTGCGCTCCATGGTGGCCGGGGCGCCGTCGTATTTGAGGTGGAGCAGGGCCGCGCCGCCGGTGAGAAGGAGGCCTCGCTTCGTCGTCCCGGTGTTCGCTTCCATGAAGCGTTCTCAGGCCCATTCTGCCACGACGCTCGGGCCTTCATGCCAGGATGAGCCGATCATACCCCTGTCGCTTTGCTGTGTGTTGAGGGCGCAGGCGTCAGCAAGGAATCAGTGGAAGATTTGGAGGCGCGTTCGAAAGACGGCCGCTAAGGGACTTCACGACGATGATGAACGTGACGGGACCTAGCACTGCTCCTCGCGGCGCTCCTCCTGCGGAGATCTTGGGAAGGATGTGGGTTTGCCGGCCCCAAACACAGCACTTCCATTATTGAGGAACGCTGCTGGCCAGTGCGCGGTGTGATTGCGAACCGGCATTCGCCGCATTTGCAAGATGATTTTGTCATATTCTGCCGTGTTGAGGGCCTTGGCGCGGTCCACGAAGACAGCCGCCGTGCGGTGCTGTGGGGTGTTGCGGTGCATGGCCGCCCTGAGGTGCAGCAATCGGTCGAGGGCGAAATCGCCGGGCCTGCAGCCAGATGGCTGCGGAGTCGACGGGGACTCGATGGCATCTCGGATGCGTGCGGCGGGAATGCGTTACATGAGCTGGCTGAGGTGGCCGGCCAGCGCGATGGGTCAGCGGAGTCGCGGTCGTACGCCGTTTTTCCCGGGTTGAGGACGGTATGACAACCCCCCGCCGCCAGCTCCGCGAGACGGTTCCTGCATTTAAGCGTCTACCGAACAGCCGGGGAAGGCACGCTCCGCCACACGGCCTGGACGGCGCCAGGCCTCTCTATGCATTCCGTCGCGGCCAGGCGCTGGTCCCAAGGGCAACGGCCGTGGGGCGCGATCGCGCTCTGCCATAGTTATTTGGGACGAGGCCCCTCGCATTCGTCAGGGTCGGTGGCGGAGAGCGGTGCTTTGGGTGCCGCGTCGCTTCCGCCGCCCACAGTTTGATGAGTTGGCCAACCTTCTGCTGTTTGCTGAGCGCGGTGCCGTCTGATTTCATTGCTGGCGTGCTCGGGGGCGAGGCGTGCGCACAGCGTGCTGCCTGCCGCCCGCGGCCTCGGGTGTGGTGCGGAGCTCGCGCCGGCGGTTTTGGACGCCTCGCGCGGCACGTCTCTGCGTCGGAGTTCCGGCCGCTGACCGCGCTATGCGTGAGACGCTGCGGCGGTAGCGCGGTCCAATTCCGCCAGCCCTGGGGTCCAGAGTGGGGACGGCTGGTGATCCCATGCCGGGACTGTCGCCTTCGTGGCTTTCCGTGTTCCTGATACAATGTTCTTCCCTACGCTGCCCGTGCTGGCTATCTCGCCGTGCTTGTTCCAATCCGCCATCTTCCGTGCTAATGATGCCCGGTCAGGATTCGGTACGGCTGCGGGTGTGTCTTCGTCCCCGATCCAGAAAATCAAGAAGCATCACGCAGTGAGCGCTGTCCGGCATTGACGTCCCGCAATGTGTTCCCAGGGCGTGGCCGCACAACGGCATCGCCACGGGAGTCTGATGGAATTTTACGGTCCCAAACCTCTCCGTGTGCGTTCCCGCCAGTGCTCATCAGTTGTGGTCCGCCCGCGCAGAGCGGCCTATCCAAATCCTCGGTCGCCACACACCTTGGGGAGCGGGAGGGAAATGCTCCGGAGAAACCGTCAGCTTCATTCCCGCCTCTGGGTGGATGGTCGCTCGCGCCAGCCCGACGCTGGCGACAAGAGCCGGTCCCGCTTCCGCCTGCAACCCTTCACGGTCGAGAATGAACACGCCGCCGCCTCCACAGGTGCGAGCGGTCCCGTGGTGCTGGAACCCCGGCGGGCTGGAACTAGTGGCTTCAGGGCGGGGGCGTCTTCTTCCCACTCAACACGCAAAAAACACTTTCTCGTCATCGAACTTCATGCTCCGCGCCAAGCTTCACAAGATAGATAGGAGAGAATAATCGCCTGGACCGCTGGAAGGATCCTGAGCTTATCTAAAGAAAACAAGCAAGACAGGGAAAAGGGGTAAATGGAGAGGCAGCGGATTCGCCAAATCCTCAATGTTTGCTCCAAGTAAATACATGTATATTGGGGAAGTCACTCTCCTGACACGGTGCGGTCTATTCAGATTGATGATGTTTATTCCTTACGAAGTGAAAAAATTTGTGCTCATCCAACCACAAGACCCCGCCGCGCGGCAGGAATCAAAAGAGGATGAGTGAGAAAGCAAAAAAGAAAAAAACATTCGTCTTGTCGTTATCGGTTCCTCGACTCCTTCCACCGCGGTGTTGCAGAGCTTTCAAAAGATGGGCAATTATCGCAAATAAATATATTCATTTTATCAGGAGGATATATTAGTTTGGGCAACCAACCTTCCTCGCGTTCATTCTCTTCACACGCTCCTAGAAGAAGACATTATTATTGGGTGTTCCTGTAGACACACCTCCGCTCACACCATTCCGCTCACAACCATAAAAAAAAAAAAAAAAAAAAAAAACGGAAAATGACAAACAAATTCAAAAGAAAAAAAATAATACGCTCCAACAACACAAATGGCTTCTTTTCTATAAATGCTGCTCCACACTCGCGCTGCTTCTTTTGCTTTCTTGACGCAAGATCCGGTTCAATTTGGAAAAATACTAATTTGACCTAAAGTAAATAGCAGAGAAAAAATAGAGGCCGCTCAGGACCGCACACATATATATATATATCTATTACTATCAAAGCATCTCTTTTCAATTGGGGACAAATGTACCCGTAAGGAATTAAAAATGATTGAACAAGACAAATAAACAGTACTGACCAAGAACTGGCACATTTACAATTTAACGATTACAAAACGCGTTTTTTTACAAAATCATTAACACATTGAAATAAAAATAAGAACCAGCATAATCAATGGAATTGGGGAAAAAGCTGACAGCAAACTGCTCACGTCTCCAGTTCCATTAATTGTATCGATGACAATACATACATCGTCGTACTTTGGACACAAAATCCTCCCTCCCGTGAACAGCCCAGTTGGTGTAATACTGCTGCCCTCCGGGCATTTATGCCACGCATCATCTCCAAGGTACCGCACGCTCACCTCGCCCTTGTCACACGACACCTCAGCGCACACGTCACCAACAAGTCCCTCGGAATCAGCAAGTCCATCCCCTTTCAAGCACTTGGACGTCGGGCCAACGCGGCTCCCACGCATAACGGTTGCGTTCCCATTACTGCACCAAGTGTTGACATACGCTTCAATGTAAGGGCAGAAGTCCATAAAACGATCGGGCAAACCGCCAAGTTCGGGATTCGAAAAGTACTGAAATTGTGGGGGAAGGGAAAAGCCGTAGAGATGGATTGTACAGCGCCCCAGCGCCAGGCGATCCGATGTGCATGAAAAGAGACTACTATTAACGGTGCAAAACATCTCTGGATACTGGGTGACGCCATTTATCACGCATTTCTCCGTCAGCAGCGCGCAGCCGGAGTTGTTGCCCCATGACATCGGTTCCTCCTTTCCCCAATTTGCCTTGTAAAAACCGGTGTCCTCAAAAGCAGCCATTGTCAACGCCGTGTAGTATCCAATTCCGGAATGACCAGCCATCAGCTCGTCCTTTGCGTTGCGTCTCTTCCAATGCGACAATGCTGCTGAGAGCCCACCCTCGTCCTCCAGCTCCATGCCGGTAGCACTCATGCAGTTGAAGTGTTCACGCGTCTTCTCCACCGTCTTGGGTGACGACACCTGAAACACCCTTGCCTTGCCACGTACACCCTCAACCTCTTTCAACATTTTGCGTTCAATCAACATACAAAAACTAAACCCAAGAGCATGTGCAATCTCATGCGCTAAATTACGAACACTGTACTCCGAATCAGTGACAAAGCTCGGGCCATAATTCACCACACCAACAACAGGACGCCCAGTTGCCAATTCAAGGCATGCGAGAGCCCACGCAAGAGTGGAATCCTTTATAGGGCCAGCGGAGACATACAGGTACATGTCCGCACCGAAAACACCCTCTGTGTGGTGAGAGCTGGGTATTGTAAACTGAGCGCATAAACCGAGATGAAACTTCGGCACAGTAACATTGACCGTGAGAGGTTCAACAAGGAGCCGATCCGTGTGCATTTTAAGTGCTCGGGGAAGAAGGGAGTTTAATATGATGGACTTTTTCTCCTCCGTCAAAATATCCTCGCTCTTACACTCAACAGTTTTCCCAGTAAAGTCCGGACGAATCTGCCCCTCGGCGGTGCAGTATCTTGAGGGATCGTTCAGATCCTCCGTGAAGAATTGAAAGCGGATGGGCGCCCAATCGGGAGCCGAGGCAGTCATCGCCCGCATCATTCCACCTCCCCGAGTTGGCAGCTCTAGCACCACTGCTGTCGTCCGGGAGCCAAACTTTTTAAATCTCATCGGAGATGCAGTGATGCTC